TGTGGTTCACAATACCACATAAAGGTACATATGAAGGCGAAAAATCAGACTTTCATAGTATCCCACAAACAGATACCAAGAACAGATTACATATACTGTTAGTAGGAAATCAAGAATTGAGAGTATACCTTTACAACAATACGCATTCAGCAAACAATGTAAACTTTAGATTAAGTTTTAAAAAAAGGTTAAAACCTAAGAAGAAGAAAAATCAATCACATGAGATACTTCTTAGCTCATAAAAATTGATGAACCTGCTAACAGAGAAGAGTCCGAGAGAGTTAGAGATGTGTGGTCAGATGCAAGGCCACAGTCTGGTGGTCGGCGGTGACTTGCTATGCTTCACCTTAGCTGCTGAACGGGCTCGAACAGTCGGAATCCTGACCACAGTCGGGCGGTTGGTGATGACCTGGGATGCTGCGCCAGTGATGGAGCGAGCTGTTAGGGCAGTTGGTTTGGCACCTTAGCCGTTGGGCTCGAGCGGTCAAAGGAGAGTGGCCGATAACTTGCTGGTCGCGACGTTGCGCTAGAGGTTGAGGTGGAGTGAGCGGCGGGTAGCCGCGGTAGGTTTAGATGTGAGGTTTCAAAAATTTTCTAAGACATTCGGTAAGGGTTAAACTTAGAAGAGACATGAAAACCAATTTCTCTTATTTGGAATAATGACCCCGAGAAGGATATATTTTTTATGAGAATTATAAATATGCCCCGTTTCTACTTATGCTAGTGTCACTATATGATGTTGATACTATTGTGTCACAAAATTATGGCATTTATGCATTTTCAAGACAATATGTCACCTATTAGTGACACTTTATCACAAAGTGTCACTGACGAAGTGTCACTATAAGACATTTTTCTACTAGTGATGGAGTCATTGACCAATGCAAAGATATATTCATTTTAAATTTCAAATGTGATTGTTATGAATCAACTAGAAAGAATCAAGAGTCACAAATTGTGTTATTAAAATATATACTACATCAAGTTCTAGACTTAGTCGAATGTTCTGAATGAAAAGACTATATCGTTATGATCTCTATATAAAAGGCAAATTGTTTAGCCCTCGCAAGTGTTATTATACATTAAATTGGTCTAATAAATCGTCTAGGGATTCTGGTAAACTTTAATTTGTTTAGCGCTTAATATACTAGATTCTATGAGTCACACGACAATTAATTATACCTTTTGATTGAGTTGTTAGAATGAATTAAATATTAAAGAAATTAAATAATATTTAATTCGCAAGATTGGAAATGGATTAAATATAAATTAGATTACACTATATTTAATCCATTATTCATGTTTCTATTTGATAGAATTAATTAAATAAGATATATTAGTTTTATTGAACTTAGTTAAGATGTATTTTTAATTAAATAAAGATGATATTTTCCTTTTAATTTGGAATCAAAAGAAAATAAATGATAATGAGTTTTGGTTTCGACGGAGCTAGGACTGGTCATGTTAAAACTAGAACTCATTAACGATTAACACTTTCATTGTGATTAGGAAACTAGTTTACAACTAATATAAATATACTCCTTTATAATTGATACATCAAATTGAATATTCGGTATGATCTAGGGGGTATTTGGCAATCAACGGTGGATGTTAGCTGATAGTTGATTCTAGCAGCGAATTGATATTAGCTGATTATGTTAGTTATTTTGACCAGCCGCTATCGTTAGCAGATTGAAATCAAATATTTGGAAACTTAGTCGTTAAGACGTATAATGACTTTAAAGGATGCATATAAAATAATACATGAATTTGATTTATCTTTTTATGGAGTATATTTTTATTTTTTTGATAAGTACATTAACTATTATTTTATATAGCCACTGCTGTTATTATTTTAGCATATGTACGTGCACACACAAATAAATATATATTATATAATAGCATTATTTTTAACTATTATATATAGGGGTTATGTCAAAAATATTACTAAAAAGAGATGTAGACAAAAAAGTGACCTTTTTTTGTTCCAAAAATGTGACTAAAAAAAGCAAAGGAACTATTGCACCCTTATTAAGCCCAAGCCCAACTGGCCTGCTACAATAACCCACTACAGTGACAAAAGGTGCAATGACCAATTTCAACTATTGTCACAGTGACACATACAATCAATGACAGTGACATGTATGCCCAGTGACAATTACACGTCAGCCCGTCCAGTAGGGTTGTAAACGAATCAAATAATTTGTGCTCGATTCGTGATTCGAATTCGTATAAGACGATTCGAATTCGGAAAATTCAAATACAAATACAAATAAGAATATTAAATTTGATTCGAGTTGTTATCAAATACAAATAAGAATATCAGTGTATTCGATTCGAATATTAATCAAATATATTCGATTAATAATAATGGTAATATTAATATCAACATTAATAAAAATAGTAATAACACAGTAATAACTTTTAAAAGATAGCAATACTCTCAAAGTGTAACCCATATATACATTTTTGCATACAAATTTCAAGCCTATTTGTAGTAAACCAGAATATAAATACGAATACAAATCAATTTTTTGGTTCAAATGTCTTTCAAATACAATACAAATAAATATGTATTCGATTTGAAGAATAAAATTAGAGTTGTTTGACTTTGATATATACAATTATTAACTTATTTCACACATTATAAGTATAATTTCTAATATGTGTGTGTTAGTGTTAATTTCAAAAGGTTTGAAGTAGATCTATATTTATTAATAATAAAATTAATTCACTTTAGTATATTGTGCACCATCTAAAAATGCAATGATCCATTAAATTTAAATTCTAAAAACACATATTAAGTCATAGCATGCATTTACAACATAAACAATACGGAGTTTAAGAAAAGTTATTTTAAAGCGATACTCCGTATTTGACTAATATTTAACATATGATCAAATCGATTCGATATTCATATATAATTCGTTAACTATTCGTATTGTTAAACAAATACAAATACAAATCGAAATTAATATTCGTTGCATATTTGAATTCGAATTCGTATTCGAAAAAATTAAACAAATACAAATACAAAATCTCACTATTCGACTCGATTCGATTCGTATACAACCCTACCGTCCAGTGATTCATTTGGGACATTTTAAACATTTAGGGATTCTAATAGACTTTTCTGTACATACATGGACTTCATTATAACATTTTGGGACTTTTACCCCATTTTTGGGACATCAAACATTTTGGGATTCTAAAACAGTTCGTCTCCCCTGAATCGTCCTTCAAGATGAATTGCAGACCATCTGGGGTGGGTACATTTGATTTTCGTTTCCAATGAGAGTCCGTTTCCCAAGTGAAGATTCGCTCCTTCGGCCGTGTCAATCAAGATTCCGCTCACGGCAGCCTCTTTCGGATCCGGAAGCCGAGCCTTTGGATCCCCTAGCCCGTGCCTCGTTCTTCCTCGCGCCAGAGCTTGCTCTGCCACGATCGGAGTTTTTTCTACACTAGATCTGCTCGCGTCCAACTTCCCCACCGGACCAGAGAAATTACTCGGAAACGACGACAAGAGATGTTCTTGATTTCCCAAGCTCCTTCTTCACGTCTCAGGCTCTTCATTGCGTCTCGTAGGTGGATTCCAAACCTCACGTATGGGGTGAGATTTGAGAATGAGCTTTGGGCTTGTAAGTTCTAAAATAAAACTCATGTCTCAGTCCAATATGAATCACCTAGACATTTTGGGATTTATAAAATGTTTTAAAATGACTTATTTAAATACATCAGATTTCAAAAATCTTAAAATGTCTTAGGACATGTTTACTTCACCGGTTATTAAACGGTGCTTATTAAGACCCGTGTTAATAAGCGGCGCATAAAATAAACAATGTTGTAAGACCGTGTTTACTTCAAACGGTTTAAAACACCGCTTAACATTAAAATGTCCAAAATAACCCTATACATATATATACACACAAACATTCATGAATACAAATATATAATATAATATGTGTACCCATACCCCTAACCCCTTACCCAACCTACCTTACCCCGACCCCACCCACCGCCTACCCCCTACCCCTACCCTACCCCTACCCGACCCCATCCTACACTTACCCCACCCTAACCCGTCCCCACCCTACCGCAACCCTACCCCGACCCCCCCATAGGCCCTTACCACATCAACCCCACCCTGACCCCACCTTACCCCAACCCCGCCCCAACCCCTACCCTACCCTACCTACCCGATCCCACCCTACCTACCCGACCCCACCCTACCCCTACCCCTACCCCCTACCCCACCACACCTACCTTGTCCCTAGCGCCTCTATCACATCGGCCCCACCCTGACCCCACCACCCTAGGTATAGAGTGGGGTAAGGGGTATAGGGTGGGGTGGGGTAGGTGGGGTAAGGGTATGGTGGGGTAGGTGGGGTAAGGGTATGGTGGGGTGATTGAGGTCGGGTAGTGGTAGGGTGGGTCGGGTACGTAGGGTAGGGGTTGGGTAGGTAGGGTAGTGGTAGGGTGGGTTCGGGTAGGTAGGGTAGGGGTTGAGGCGGGGTAGGGGGTGGGGTCGGGTAGGTGGGTAAGGGGTGGGGTAGGTAGGGTAAGGGTAGGTGTGTGGTCGGGTAAGTAGGGTAGGGGTGGGATCGGGTAGGTAGGGTAGTGGTAGGGTGGGGTCGGGTAGGGGTAGGATGGGGTTAGGGTTGGGTCAGGGTATGGTGGTCGGGTAGGGGTAAGGGTAGGGGTGGGGTAAGGGTAGAGTGGGGGTCGGTTAGGTAGGGTAGGGTAGGGTGGGGTGGGTAGGGTGGGGTCGGGTAATGGGGTAGGTCAGGGTAGGGTAGGGGTAAGGCGGGGTACGTGTAGGGTGGGGTCGGATAGGTAAGGTAGGGGTGGGGTCGGGGTACTGGTAGGGTGGGGTAGGGTAGGTCGGGGTAGGGTCGGGGTAGGGTCGGGGTAGGGTAAGGGTAGGGTGGGGGGGTCGGTTAGGTAGGGTAGGAGTGGGGTGGGGTGGGGCCGGGGTAGGTGGGGTAAGGGTAGGGTGGGGTCGGGGGTAGGTGGGGTTGGGGTCGAGGTGAGGCAGGGGTAACAATAGGGTATGGGCAAGGGGTAAATTCAGAAACTGAAAAAGCTTAAAGTGCCGCTTAATTAATACATGGGGGAGTGGTATGCTTAATAAGCGGCACTTTAAGCACTTCTTTCGGTTAGTAAGCGGCTTTTTAAGCAGTGTGCGTGTTTACTTCACATGTCTTACTAACCTAACTGTGACTTTAGCAGTGAAGTAAACGCCTCCTTAGGGTTGGTTTGCAAACACTTTAAAAAAGCACTTCTCGACTTTTGGTTTTAAAAGAATACTTCTTTTACCAAACACTACAACTTTTATTTTTCTCGCCTTTCGTGTAAAAAGTGCTTTTATTTTTCTATTACACAAAAACACTTATTTTACTAAACACTACCAACTTTTACTTTTCAAAATCACTTTTTTCTCAAATACTTTTCCACTTTTATTTAATCACTTCTTCTTATTTCATTAAAAAAAGCACTTTTTTAAAACCAGAAGATGGTTGCAAACAGGCCCTTAAAATGTCTAAAATGAATACTCCACTTTAGGGGTGGGCAAACGGGTCTTGGAACCGCGGTCCGGTCCGGGTAATGACGGTTCGGGTCCAAAACGGGCCGGTTCCATTTTTTGTTGCAAGAAAACGGTTCAGGTAGGGTTGGGTAATTTTTTTTAAAGACCCGGGCCGGTTCCAAAATAAAAAATTACCGGGTACCCGCCCCGCCCCGTTATATATATATATTGCATAGTAATTTTTTAATACTTAGGCCTCTGCCAACTCTGATTACTTAGCCCTATGATGTATCTCAAATTCTCTATATTTTAGTTTTGGAGTTCTTTTAAGCTACTAATGAATATGAGTTGTAATGTTGTTATTTTGGTATTGTCATTTTGGACTTGAAGGTAAATTATGTTGTTATTTTGGTGTAGTCTTTTCGGACTTGAAGAGTTGAAGGTTTACACTTTACTATGATGTTTGGTGTAGTCATTTGGAAACTTAAGAGTGACTATGTTGCTGATTTTTGGAACTTCTTTAATTGTTTGGAACTTAGATATATGAAGTTATGGAGGATTGAACTTGTCACTTGTGTTAGGTGTGCACCAGTATGTTGTTATGTTGAAACTTGTCAATGTACTATACGGAGTATTATTAATCATTGATTATTGATTTTTGGAACTTTGTAAGTTTTTACTACTCGTATTTTTAAAACATGAAAATAGGAATCGAAAAACCTGATCCGGACCGACCCGTCTCAAACGGGCCGGGTAAGGTCCGGTTCCTATTTTGAAAATTGCAATACCTGAACCGGACTGGACCGTATAATGGAACCGGCGGTTCCATTTTATTTTGCTTTACCCGCCCTGACCCGGCCGTGCCCAGCCCTACTCCACTTAATCAATTTGTTTAAACTAATCTACATATGAGCTGTGTTTAGTACTGGCGTAAGTGGAATATCTTCATCGTCGGAACTGGTTTAAGGTGAAAAACCCGCACTAAAAATGGCGGAAGCGGAATATCCAAATCGGAGCCCCGAAATCCGAAAGGATGGAATCAATGACAGGTGGGTGATATTCTCGCCAGCGAGATCACGACGGCCGTCGGACTTCAAGGCCAAATCGAATCCTAACCCGAATAACCAATCGGGGTGCCCATTCTGCAAGGGCCATGAACACGAGTGTGCGCCGGAGATATTCCGCATCCCTCCTGATGCCACCTCCGATTGGGGAATCAGAGTTATCCAGAACCTCTACCCGGCCGTCAACAGAGACTTGCATTTCCAGGCTGAGAATAATCATGATTCATTGCACGGCGTCGTTTCGATACGCGGATTCGGGTTTCACGATGTGGTGATTGAATCTCCGGTTCACTCGGTTCATCTTAGCGATCTTTCACAGGCATGGATTGGGGACGTTTTTCTGGCTTTCAAGACTAGGATCGACCAGATTCGCATTAATCAGTCCATCAAATATGTCCAGGTCTCCTACTTTTCCATCTTGTTATTTTGTATAAGCAGTTTTCTCTATTCTATAAACAGTCGTTGTTTCATTTTTGAAACATGCATAAGTTATTATGGGACTGGAATAACAAAAACAAAAACAATCAAGAGCCAACATATTGGTCATTATTCTTACAGCTTGTATGACTCATTGACATATTTTGTTTTACTTTTTTGTTTGTTGTTATCAGGGGTGAGGGGTGGATCTAGCTTTGACTTCTAGAGGCCAAAATTTAACTAAATATCTTATATTGAGAAAAAAGCATCTATTGTAACAACAAAATCAAAGACAAAAATTAACATTATAAGAATAAGAGTTTTCAATAAAGTCAAATACAAAAACTGAAAAACACCACAATTTTACAACTGTTCTCTACGGGTTTTCATCGTTGATATTGTTTGATAAAGACATCATTGTCAATTTTCAAGAAGATGTAATTTTCTACATAAACAATAAGTCTATCATTGAGCCAATTATCACTAATCCGGTTGCTCGGCCTATCCTTCACCATATTCATTTCTGAAAATACTCTTTCAAAACTAATGGTTACACCGGGAAGAATCAATACCAAAGTCAACAACTTGTAAACTAAAGAAAACACCTTATGCTTCTTAGTTTCTACCAACTTCTCTCGTCACCAAGTCCTTTGAGGTCCTTAAATAAAGCATTAAAGCGCACATCAAAGATATAACTTCCAAGTTAATCTTTGAGAATACAAACACCTAATGGTGAAAAATCTTGGGGATAAAACTCGGTCAATCTAAGCCATTTCTTCTTTTCAAAAGCAGAAAATGAATCTTGTGGAGATAAACAAGCAATGCAAAGTAGCAACTCTGTACTAGCTTTTGAGATACAATCACCTAACTCTTGCACTTGCTAATCAATCGCAACACAAAATAGATCATAGCTATAGTGATGCAAATTTGTAAGAGTTGATCCTTTATGTACGAGGCGACCTCGTGAATCAAAACGGATAAATGTGTCATAATGTGAACCCCAATGTTTATCACCTCATCACTATGTATCACATGAAACACATTACTAACAACAGAAAAAATTGAAATCGAGCTTACAAAAGATCTATAATGTGAACCTCAACGTGTATCAGCTGCGTGCTAAAGGCTAGATTCTTGGTTAAGACCAGGGCGGATTGGGCCTAAGGCCAGGGAGGGACCAAACCCACCCTAAATGTTTTCTAATAGTATGTGAGTGTGTGTGTGTGTATAGATATACAAATGTTTCTAACTAGTATATATATAAATGTTTTTAACTAATATGTGTGTGTATAATTGTATATATATATATAGAGGAATGATCTTGTACATATGGATGTACAGGAGGCTCCGTACGGACAAAGCCATCCGAGGCCCTTCCTGGTGGAATTTTTTGATGAAATTTTTTGAGCATGTTTTTCATCAAGTCTTTTTTGATGAAAGACAGTCAACTAGATTCTTGAAATATATGGTGCATTCATGCAGTATATTTCAAGAATTTATTTGACTGTCTTCCCGATCGAATTTTGAACTGAAATTTGGTATGGATAAACTAGACTTGATGAAGAACATGCTTAAAAAATTTCATCAAAAAATTCCACCGGGAAGGACCTCTGATGGCTTTATCCGTACGGAACTTCCTGTACATCCATATGTACATGTACATCCATATGTACAGGAGCAACCCTCTATATATAAATGTTTTTAACTAGAATATGCATAAGTTTTCTCCGACGTCGGAGTGTCGTTCTCAGACGGCGGCTCAAGCGCTTAGCACTCGGATGGTGCATGGTGGTTTAGAGGCCGTTTGGCAACATTGTTTTTCGACTTGTCAGGCTTATCAACCAACTTTGTCATCAAACACGTAACTTTTGCTTTCACGCGCTAAATTGTGTAATAAGCAGAAAATGTAAGGTTGGAGTTATTTTTCTGGCTGTATTGGCTGAAGTTACTGTGGAGGACTATTTTAGCTATTTTTACATATAATTTTTTCTTTTTTTATTAATAAAATATATTTTAAAAATATTTTTTTCTTAAATCAGCAGAATGCAGCCACTTCAGCTAGAACTTCATAAATTTCAGCAGAACAAACCAAATCAGCCGATTTTTAAGCTATCAAACAGGCTCTTAGACTATTTAGGTTATGCTCTTCGGTGGTAATTGGGAAGTGCGGAACTGCCTTAGTTTTAAAAGACATGAGGCGGCTTGAGGCGATTTCATTGATATACCTGAGGCGCGAGGCGCTAGGCGGTAAGGCGCGTGCCTCACGGATCTCAGCCACATTTTTTTGGTGAAATATATTTTTAGTACTTCTACATGAAGCACTCTTCTAAAAAATCAAACTATTAAACAATCTTAATAAACATCATAAGAGAAACAAAATATATATTAAAGACAATACGACAGAAGCAAGAAATATATGTTTAAAGGCATAATTGCCAAAAGTCAAATCACAAGACTCAATGGAATTTAAATACTCAGTTTAAAAACTTTAAATACAGTAAGAACTTAGTAATACAGTAAGAATTTAAATAGAATTTGGTAAACAGTTTGATTCCAGAGTAATACAGTAATGCAGTAAGAACTGAGTATATCTGTTGTAGTAAAATATAGTCTGATTCCAAACTGAGTATCTGTTAATAGTAATTTAATAATTAATGGAATAAACTGTTATATAAAAAATTCTTAAAGCTTCAATATAGTCTGATTCCAAATTGTATATTGTTCAAGCATATTAATGAACACTGCTCATGTTCATAAGTCTGATTCCCTGCCAGTATATAACATGCTTGAATATAGTCAATATACCAGTGTCAAACAATATACAATTGTTAAAAAATTGTTAATAAAGCAGTGTTCTAACACTACAATATATATTATATAGTATTATGATATTATCATTGGCATATAATATGTAATAAACTAATAAACTCTAAAATAATACATATTTAATTAATAAACTATCACACAAATTGAATTCTGTAAAATTATACAAACAGATTTGTAAATATAAATAATTTAAATAATTTTACAAATATAAAAACTAAAATACTTAAAAAACTTAATATTTATATAAATATATAAATATAACAACTTAATATAAAAGAGAATAAATAGCAGAAGACAAAAAAAAAGGTAAAGAGACTTACCTCTGCGACGCGAGATAGCAGCGAAAGAAAAGTAGGAAAACTCAAACGCGAGATACAGCGGAAGCAAAGAAAAAAAATGGAATGGGAATAGGCAGAGTAATTTCATCCGACACTTCCCTTAGGCGCGAAAGGCGCTCGCCTCTCAGTAGCACAAAAGGTGCTAAAAAGTGTTCAAAGCGCTCGCCTCTGAGAACCTGAGCCGCCTGGGTATGTAAAATGCGATAAACCTATCGCCTGTATGCGCCTCACGCCTGAGGCGCGCTTTTTTAAACCAAGGGAACTGCCTGACAAGTACTCCATATTTTTAAATTGTTCTAATTTGTTTGTGTTTTTAATTTAATTTAGCTTTTTAAAGACTAAATTAAAGCCTTATTTAGTATGAATTCAAGTTGTAATCATCATATATAGTTGTACGAGTTTGCTTGTGATTTATTATTATCAACCTAATTATTAAGTTATTAGTATCAGTGTAGTAATAGTCATCTCGTTATTTTCAATAAAGGTAATAGAAAGATAATATAACCCTGTTGAAGTAGGAGCTAATGAAGTACCTCATCCAGAATTTAGTACCCTCAACTACAATTCAAGATTATTCAACAACAAATGATGAACAAACCAACATAAATAACAAACAATCATTCATCATTGAAGAGTTCGATTCCCCCCAACTCCTATATGATCCTAGATTGAGAGTACCAATCTCAAGGTACAATCCATCCAAATATCATAGATAAAACTTGAAGAACATATCTGCATAAAGACCCTTGTCAACCGTTTGAGCACTTCCCAATGAAGATGGTTTCTGCAAATAATGAAGAAGATTTACTCTGACTTGATTTACTGAACATGACTGGTCGGAGTATAGCATATCTAAAGATGTCGCCTATTGTATCTATTGTTATCTTTGAAACCTGAACAAAAAGGAAACAATTAGGAGATGTGTTTGTTTCAGAGGGATTTACCAATTGGAAAGACAATTCCAAACTTAATGTTCATATTGAAAAGCGTGATAGTGAGCACAATCAAGCTCGGATAAGGTGTGATGCATTGATGAACCAAAAAGCACATATTGAAACAGTTTAGGACAATCAATTAATATAGACAAAGAATGATTATCACATTTGACTGACAACATCTCTTGATTGTGTGTGGTACTTGTTGAAGTTAGAGTTACCTTTTCCAGGTCATGACAAATCAGAAGACTCTCATCAGGTAATTTTCTATTGACCATGAAATTTTTATGAGAACATTTACTGTTGAAAGAGTAAATGTTGCTCAGATAGTAAATGTTATTGGAGGTTCGTGTAAACGTTTCAACATTCTTCTTGAAAACAACTGAACTTTATTGTTGAGACATTTGAGAGTGGTAGAATTTCAAAAGGACGGGGTCTTAATTAAGAAGACCACAATTTTACAACCATTCTTTACGGGTTTTCATCGACGATAATGGTATCTTTGTCAATTTTCAAGAAGATGTCTTTTTTTACATAAACAATATGTTTATCATTGAGCCAATTATCACTCATTTGGTTGCTTAACCTATCCTTCACGATATTCATTGCTAAAAAATACTCTTTCAACACTAGCGGTTGCAACGAGAAGAATCAATGCCAAATTCAACAACTTGTAAACTAAAGGAAATACCTTGTGCTTTTTAGTTTCTACCAACTTTTCAGCAAGGTCACCAAGTCCTTTGAGGTCCTTAAATAAAGCATAAAGGCCCACATCATAGATATAAATTTCAAGTTGATCTTTGAGAATACAAACGTCTAAAGGTGAAAAATTTTCAGAATAAAACTCGGTCAATCTAAGCAATTTCTTCTCAAAAGCAGAAAATGAATCTTGTGGAGATAAGCAAGCAATGCAAAGTAGCAACTCTATACTAGTTTCTGAGAAATGATCACCCAACTCCTGCAGTTGCAAATCAATCGCAACACAAGATAGATCATAGTGAAAATGATGCAAATTTGTAAGAGTTGGCCCTTTCATGTTTGGGATAGTAATAAAATGTTGATCACAAAAAACACAAATTTCTAGAAGCTTGAAGTCGGTACCTACAAACTTTAGTTAGATCCCATTCTTCATCTCTAGAAGCTTGAAGTCGGTACCTACAAACTCTAACTAGATCCATCGCGTTGACAATATCTTGATCACGCCATTGTAAAACATGTGACAACTCATTCAATACTCCCATGATAATCATCAAGTGCAAATTTTGAACAAATCAAAGCAATGCATCATTTTGAGTAAGTACTCTATCTCCACCTTTTGCGTATATGTAGTTACCTCATCATCGTGTATCACATCAGGGACATCACCAATAGCAGGAAACATTGAAATCAAGCTCACCAAAGATCTATAATGTAAATCCCAATGTGTATCACCCGCGCGCTGAAGGTTAGATTCTTGGTTAACATCCACTTAAAATTTTACTACTTTCAAACGCCTCAACAACGAAGTTCATTTGTTTTTTATGATAAATGTCGGAACGTTTACACGAACCTCCAATAACATTTATCACATGAGCAACAACAACACGAAAAAATCAGCAATGGGAAGAATCTTTGTTGCAAAAGCTACAAGGGCGAGTTGGAGTTGATGTGTATTATCCATTAACACAGAAGCTATCTCAAGATTATGATCTCTTAAAATTTGATGGTCACTAGAACATTACCTGGACTTAGAGAATCTTCTAATTCGTCATGACCTCGGAGAGGTAACCCTAACCTCAAAAACTACCGCACATAATCAAGAGATGGTGTCAGTCGGATGCGATAATCATTCTTTTGTCAACATTATTGATTGTCTAAAATTGTTCTAATATGTACATTTTGGTTCATGTGCACATCACACCTCATTACAGCTTGATTGTGCTCACTATCATGCTTTCCAATATGAGCATTAAGTTTGGACTTGTCTTTGCAATGGTTAAATTCCTCCGAAACAAACACATCTTCTCCCGATTGTTTCCCTTTGTTGAGTTTTCAAAGATAACAATAGAGATAATAGGCGGCATCTTCAGATATGCTATACTCTAACTGTTCATGTTCAGTAAACCAAGTCGGAATGAATCTTCTTGATTTATTTGCAAAAATCATCTTCATTGGGAAGTTATGCTCAAACGGTTGACAAGTGCATTTATGCAAATATGCTCTTCGAGCTTGATCTCTGATATTTGGATTATACTTTGAAATCGGTATTCTGAATCCAGGTATGCTGAATTTTCTAGAATTGTAGTTGAGGGCTCTACAATCTTGGATAGCTACCCTCCTTAGCTCCTACTTCAACAGGGTTATACTATCTCTTCATTACCTTTATTGAAAATAACGGGATGACTAGTTACGATACTAGTATCAATTAACTAAATAATTAGATTAATAATCACAAATCACAAGCAAACTCATACTACTATAAATGATGATCAAAACTTTACAAATACAAACTTACCCGTTCAGCAGTTCCACACCTCCCAGTTTACCACTGAAGAGCATAAACTAAACAGTCTAAACCGCTGTCCGAGTGTTGAGCCGCCGTGCGCTGTCCGGGTCCGACGTGTCGACGTCCTTTCGATGGCCGACCGGCAATGCAACGATTGACGAAGATTCGATGGGTTGCTAAAATAGCTATGCGGACTGCTAGTCATGACAGTTTGAGGGTTTTGAGGGTTTTGCCAATTAGGAACTATGCGGACCGCTAGTCTTGCTACCTCTTCCCCTGCGCCATGTTTTAATTTTGGGCTTGGCTAGAACTAGAAGGATGGGAGAGGGGACTTGTGTGGACCAACGGACCAAAACTGCTGTATATTACTCCCTCCGTCCCGCTTAAATCTTTACGCTTTCCTTTTTGAGACGTCGCATTTACTCCTTCACGTTTCCTTTTTAACAACTCTTTTACATTAAAGTATCCAAAGTACCCTTCACTACCACTCTCATTCTAAATTTACTTGGCCCCCATTAAACATATGTTTGTCCTTTTATATCCTATCCAGAAGCTTCTGTGTGACATATGTGACGGTGAAGATGAAAATTGAGACAGGCTCGCCGTCCTTCCTCTGCTATTCCGGTCTCTGCACAAAACCTTCTGGACGCCATCGCCATCCTCTTGTTGTGTCGCCCTATACTTTGCCGGCTTGCTTCTTCCCCTGCTGCAAATGTATATATGTGTGGCGGGAGATCCCAATTCGTCCTCACTCACCAGTCCCAGCCCCTCCATCGGTCACCCAATTGCAGAAACACAAGCTTCTATGCCATTGAATTTCAAATCGTAAGAGTGGATGTTTGGGCAGATATTTTCTGCTTCTATCCCAAATTGCCAATTGCAGAAACACAGCCCCTCCATCAGTTGCCTAATTGCTTCAGGAAAAGAGATGGAAGGTAGCGGAAGACTTTAGGAAGAAAGAGAGGCAGGTCGTAAATACGTTAGCTAGGTGAGGGGAGTGCAAGATGGGAAGCTTTGGCAGATATTTGTTCTCCTAAATTACCGTTCCAAAAGCAAACGTAAAGATGTATCCGGGATGGAGGGAGTATCATTTTTAAAAAAATTGAGGGTGGGCCTGATTTTTATCCATATATACTAGTTTTAAAAAAAATTGAGGGTGAGCCTGGGCTCTCCTAGGCCCAATCAGCCCTGGTTGTTCTCTTGGCAAGTTGGCTCGATGTCTGAAAATGTTTATTAAAAGAACCATAAGAAAATTTATGAGGAGACATTGACTTGAGCACTAGAGTCATTGCGATGCTCAACTGGAACCAGTAATGGATTGACTTGGTATATGTTGAATTTGGCATCCCTAAGAAATGAAGGGTAGTTTCTCATTTTATTCTATTTACATTCCAAAAAGAACAATATATATGGAAGTAGACGTTACACTCGAAGAACTAAAAAAACCAATATATATGGAACCAGTTATTTTTGGCATCTTATATTGATGATTCTTACATCCTTGTGTTTTTTGGCATTTTTAGTACATTATAGTTAATGAGTGTCCCCAAATTTATCTCACTATTTTTTATGGAGTTGAATTAGTAGGTCTTCAAAAATCATGGGGCATCAGCCGGTGCATCTATGAGCCACTCTCACAGCCAGATTATTGCTCTTCCTATTATCCCTCCCACAGTTTCTGCTCGCCTCAGTAGTATGAAGGAGTATTTTCAGCAGTGTGGGACTTGTTCTCTCTGCAATGTTCATGCAGATGACTTAATGATCACTAAGTCAACCCATTTCACATCTGTGGTTCCATTTGCTGCTACATTCCCTTTTGAAATATGGATAATCCCTCGGAACCACTCTGCCTTTTTTCATGACCTAGACAGCGAGAAGGTAATTGATGATTTTTTTTTTAATTGAAATTTATAGTTGTGATATACACTTCTGAAGATTAGATGATGTTTAGAATGTTCCCAACAGAAAATTTAATCATCTATCAACAGTTTAAGATTACAATTTCCTTGCATAAGCGATTGAGTTTGTATTTATGATATAAACACGGTTGTGTGAATTGCACTCTGGAAAATTGTTTGACGATAAATATAGGGAAAAATGCTTCAGGGAAATGACTGCTTTATCTGTTTAAGAGTGGAAGAATTCATTTTTCAGTTTTCACACACACACTCGAATAGTCTTGGAAAATATTTTTCTTATCAGGGGGGGGATGCTTTCTTGTGCCGGACACGGTAGAATCCAGAAAATATTTTGCAAGAAAACATACAGTATTTTGTCTTCTTTTTGGACTTTAACAATGTTTGGCCTTGATTGTTGTTCAGGCATTTGATCTGGCCGGGCAGTTGAAACTTGTGCTTTTGACGTTGTCCTCACAGCTGAATAATCCACCATTCAACTTCATGATTCATAGCTCCCCATTCGAAGTTGATCCTTCATATTTACCAAGTTGCCATTGGTATCTCCAAATAGTGCCCCATTTATCCGGGGTTGGGGGTTTTGAGTTAGGAACTGGATGTTACATAAATCCTGTTTTCCCAGAGGATGCAGCTAAAATTTTGAGGGAAGCAAGTTTGGCAGTAGAGGTGACAAAAATGAAAATGGGAGGCTGACATATGCCCCATTATGGGATATCTATTCTTCATGGAAGCAAAGCTGGTGGATATGGATTTCAGCTTCTGCAAAATGTTTCTTGAGCTGTGGTGGATGTTTATGAATTTTGCTAGTGCTCATTGGGCTTCTTCATATTCATACCTGCTTGATTACCCCATTGGTTTTAATGTCGATATAGTATTAAGGGCTAACATTCAATGTAAAATTCCAACCTTAGATCTCATCCAAACAATATCCTTCTTTTTTAAACCTTGCAGAGCTGTCTGGGTTTGAACTTTGAAGGGCCACTGAAGGTTTACCCGGGGTTTAACTTTAAGGCTGGCGATGGAATTACTCGGGGGCTCGGGGCAAAAGTTCCAGGGGACACTTGCGTGTTATAAAAACAACTTTGTATGTCACAATTTTGTGTAAATCATGTGTCTTTCATAATAACCTCAAAGAGATAATTTTATCAATAAAGTGATACTCCATCAAATCATAGTCCCTGTCTTTTAACACTACTAAATTTGACACTTTTGGAGAATGATGCTAAACTTGTTTGTATACGAAATTGTCTATAACATGAAGGTAAAATGTATTTCTCAGAAAGTATGAACTTAGAACTTTCATCTGTTTGTTGTATCAACACGCAAACTAGTTAAACATTAGATACCAGTATACCACCACCTCTTAAGGTTCTCATTGTAAAAGTTAATTCGATAAGGTAATTTGAGTATATTTTGAGAAATTGTTTGATGGTATGCTTCGTATAATATAATGAGGTCATTGATGAATGATGATATTTGTTATGTTATAGTTTTTGTTTAATATTTGATGATTAAATTGTAATTTAGGAGTCTTAATCATTTTCCAACATAGAAATGTGAACCTTTACGTGAGACGTTAGAGAAAAGAAAGTGAGAACCATAAGTTGAGATAGAGGGAGTATAGCCTATGAACTACATATATGTAATGAGATTGTGAAATTGATCTAAGAATATTATAGAACACTTGACATGACAAATATTATAGAACACTTGGCATGACAAATTAGTTCCTTATCACAACAAAATTTTAGCATTTTGTACTTGTCAATACAAGATTGGTTTTCCCAATGTTATAGCTTCACAATGACCAAATGAGGTATGTGCCATTCGGTTAGCAATACTTTCATCGATAGTACTAATTATAGGGTTTTCGATAGGCACGACCTCAAATTGAGCAGAGTAGTAATATGTTTGAGCTCGGCTCGATTAGTTACTTGAATATAAAACCCAGCTCACGTTTCAAGCTCGACTCGTTAAGCTTAAAATCAAGCTCGAACTTCAATAGTTTAAAAAAAGCCTGGTCCGTTAACCACCCTAGTTCGAGTTAGATGCATGATCTAGGAAAGGACAACATTATATAAGGCATAGCAATGGGTTATGTGTACTATTTTTAATATTTAATAATTAAGTTCTAATTTAAGAGTGCTAATTGTTTTGTAAATTAGAAATGAGAATCTTTAACTTTAATGTTTAAAAAAGGCAGATGAAAAACTTAGAGCATGCCCAATGCAAATGTGGGAACGGTGGTGCACACATGCAGAAGAGATGTAAATACAAAAAAATTAATTAATAAAAAGTCTCTATCTTTCTTTACACTGCATAATAAATCTTAATTACGGAGTATTTTTTATTTACAATGTCAAGTATAATTTCTAGATCTTGGCGGTGTGCTTGACACAATGAACAAAAAACAACCAAATATTTATTTCAACGGACAAAATGTGAATGACTTGTACAATTTAATTTTTTGTGCTTATATGTAGGGGTGGGCAAAAATACCGAAATATCGGTATATCGCACTTACCGTACCGAAAAATACCGGAAAACACCGAAATATTGGTATACCGTCATTTTTGGTACGATATCATACCGTACCGGTCTATTTCGGTACGGTAACGGTAGATGTTTTCAAATACCGCGGTATACCGGTATAATACCGTACCGACTCCCTACTCAACAATTACTTTTAATTCTAATATATTGTAGAATTCCATTACAATTTTGAAGCACAAAATTAATACTTAAGTTGGTTACAAATACAAAGATACAAAAATAAAGGCCCAATTTCTCAAACCCACTATAACCTCATAGACTTCTACTACGCTAACCTTAAATGACTAATGAGTAATGTACAAATGTCAAGAAACAAGTCGATCTTGTTCTAAGAGCTTGCAAGTCGTGATGGCTGGGACACTAAGTAGCTGACGAGTGAAGATAGATACACTTATGAGACAAGTGTATCTACATAGAGATTCAGCGAGTCGAGACACACAACTTTGTCCGAAAGTCTTATTCAATTTTTAAAAAATTATAAAAAATGACTAAATACACAATATCATATTAGGAATAAATGATTTTATATCCATGTTGTTTGAATAGTTTTATTTATTTTTGTTAGAGATCACTATTGATTTAATTATATCTATATTGTTCAAGTTATTTTAGGAGAATGTGTTACTTTTTAATATATGGTATGTTGAACTGCTTAAATATACTAATAATAATTATTGTTCAATATTGAATTGACATCAATAGATTATTAATTGTATTTCGTAACATTTTAATAATAGATTTAATATGTCGCTAGTAATAACGATTTAGTATATTTCGTTAGTCTATGATAATTTTTTGTATTGGGAGACATGCACGACAATTTATCGATACCGTACCATTACCGAACCGAAACTTCGGTATACCGAAATGCGGTATACCGAAACTTCGGTAAGGTAAAGGTATGCAAATTTTGCATACAGAAAGTTTTGGTAAGACAAAGGTATGAGAAAAAATATAAGGTATACCGTACCGAACCACCCCTACTTATATGTCTCACACAATGTATGTACAACACACTTTTGCATTGAAGATAATGTTGGAGTGTTGGACCGGTTAAGAGGGTCCTATCTTCCATTTCACATTTAAACTAAAGCCCAAATACTGAGTAGAATTCTTTCTCCGCACTAGGGCAGCGTCTTCCGATTTCTCAACCCTCCCCGGCTCCGGGCTTCTATTCCAGCGATCGTTCATCCATTTCCATTTCCATTTCCGAGTACACGGGCAAGTTGAAGAAGAGCAATATGGTGGGATTCCAAATGCAGCCATATGCAATGCAATCTATGCTTAAAGAAGGCCACAAGCATCTGTCTGGTCTCGATGAGGCTGTGATTAAGAACATTGACGCCTGCAAGCAGCTCTCCGGCATAACTCGAACTTCATACGGACCGAATGGTAAGTTATTCTTTCTCCCTTCTTTACAATTTAGTTCAGACTTCCTAATATACTTTTTCTCATCGTAATTCCTTAACACAACCGTGCACTCAAAGAAATTCATAGGAAAAAGATGATATCCATTTCCGCTTACTTTTGATAGTAAATTGATTTAAAAAATTATCAGAAATGTGCAAGTTGAAGTGGAGCTTTTACACACTGGTTAAGGTGTTCTAAGTGAAAGAGATTTTATGTGTTCAAGTCTTGGGAGCTGCCTCTTGTCAAAACTTGACACGGAAGGATTGCCCTTATACACCATTGTGGTGGGACCCTTCGCTGGACCCTTATACACCAGTGTGGTGGGCTGCCCATTATTTGATCAGAAATGTGCAAGTTGGACGACGTAATTCGAAACACTCCGAACTTCAGTCTAGGACTAGTTCTCCTTTCTAGGAAGAGTTTAATTCGCTGCAGATCAATTATCTTTCCAGGAGTATAACATATATCTGTTGTTCTCATACGTTTATGGTTAATTCTTGTTTAGGCATGAATAAGATGGTTATCAACCATCTTGATAAGCTTTTCATTACCAATGATGCTGCTACGATTGTGAATGAACTTGAGATCCAGCATCCTGCTGCCAAGATTTTGGTGTTGGCAGCAAAAGCTCAGCAAGAAGAGATTGGTGACGGGGCCAATCTGACTATTTCTTTTGCTGGAGAGTTGCTTCAAAATGCTGAGGAACTGATTCGGATGGGGTTACACCCTAGTGAGATCATCATTGGATACAATAAAGCAATTAATGAGGTCTGCATGGTCTACCATATAAGGCCTATAATACATTTATAATTTATCAACATTAATTACATATTTGAACTATTTTCCTACTAAATTTTTGGATACAGACTATTAGAGTATTAGAAGAACTAGTTGTTGAAGGCTCAGAAAATATGGATGTCAGAAACAAGGTAGAAGTTGTTTCTAGGATGAAAGCTGCAGTTGCAAGCAAACAATTTGGACAAGAAGATATTTTGTGCCCTCTCATTGCTGAGGTAGATATCATTATATCAGGATGCTTGTTTTATCTAGTTCACGATTTTGATCCTAATCTCTATATATGAAATCAGTGTCAGCAGCTTTTGATTCTCCGTGGATTTTTTTCTGTAGGCATGTATACAAGTGTGTCCTAAGAACCCTGCTAATTTCAATGTGGACAATGTTCGTGTTGCTAAGCTATTGGGTGGAGGTCTACACAATTCAACAATAGTTAGAGGCATGGTATTGAAAAGCGATGCTGTTGGGAGCATTAAGAGAATGGAAAAGGCAAAGGTAAAGTTTCATACACAAGTTCTATATTTTATTGCTTTATATGTTTTTCTGTCTGGCAAACCGGATTATGAAAAGTTGGTTACTACACACCCATATAGACTGTGGTTCAAATAAAAAATGTTCTTCCCATGAAAAATAAAAAATGAATTTCAGTATGTCAATATGATGTAATGAATGACCCCATCTATGAACATTAATGAACATTCAATGAATGCGCCTGCCACAACTAAATGTTATAAAGTTCACCTTTATTCTGTGCTCCCGATATATATGAGGTTTTAGATTCCCGAAATCAATGTTCCTGATGTTTTTGAATTTTCGAATAGGTGAATTTTTTTACTTGTACCCTCGGGCACATGGGTGTGTGTGTGTGTGAGAGAGAGAGAGAGAGAGAGAGAGAGAGTCTTATGGGTCTATGGGGAGATATTAGAGCTTTTCCTTTGAGTTTTCATCTTGTTTTTTCAATTAATCCACTCATTGAGGGATTTGAGGGAACTGGATATCATGAAAATAAGGATGGCCTCTTGCCTACAGTAGTTAGTATAAACAGAGGCTTCTATTTTTTTCTTTCTTTCTTATGTTAAGGTTTCAAGATTTTGTTTATAAGGAAATGTGTCGATTGGAGGCATAGAATCCATAGATACACATGGGGAAGAAATCATTTTCTGACTGTATGTGATGATACATTGCAACTTCATTTATATTTTCTTGTATTTGTTTAATGTAAATATCCCCATCCTCAATCTAGCTTTTCACCGTTCTTTTCATCAATCTCCAACTCACATTCCTTTTAAGAAAAAAATGGCGTAGTTAAATTATTCATTCTTGTTTACAGATATATCTCAACCCCATTTTCATTTAATTATAGGCTTGCAGATTTTCTTTCTTCAATAGTTTTAATTTGAGCATTAAAACACAATTGCATACCGATTCTTTTGAGATTTTGAAGGTGGAAATATATCTAAAAAAGTGTTGGGGTTGAATCTGTACCCTTACCTACTTAATCTCTGCTTCTAATAGTAAACCTTTACCTGTGCACCGTTATTTTAACTTGTAAATACATCTATGTTATCTAAGTGTTTGCTTTTATCAAGGTTCTAGACTTGAATACCTAATTTTGCAGGTTGCTGTTTTTGTTGGGGGAGTTGATACATCTGCAACCGAAACAAAAGGAACAGTTCTTATTCATAGCGCTGACCAGGTATTAAGTTCAGCCCTATTTTTAGTTTCCTTGAAGATTATAAAAATATTAGCCTATTAGGTAATCTATGTAGCATGTCCTCACATCATTGCATTTTTTACTCGTGCGAGTCCGTGTTCCCTTGTGTACCATTCATTCTAGTTGGTTATTGTCTATTAAATAATAAATAAATTTAATAAAAAAGTTGCTATGATTTCAACCATTCAGAACGAGTGAACATAATAGAGGATTTGGATTCCACCCTAAATCTTTTCCATGTGTCCAGTCATATCAGGACGTCAATGTACATCACAGTTGATCTTTTATCTTAATGTTTAAACTTTTTTTTTTTAAAACAGGGCCATCCCAGGTTAATTGATGTATCACACACTTTTAAGTATGATTTTCTAGAATTTAAAGATTGAGGAAACCATACAATGTCTTCACTAATGTTCTAAAAAATTTAAAGAATCACATGTTATTATCTTGTGACTAGTATTGATTTGTTGCGATCTGGGTACTCTAATGCTTTGCAGCTTGAGAACTACGCAAAAACTGAGGAATCCAAGGTTGAAGATCTCATTAAAGCAGTTGCGGATTCTGGTGCTAAGGTCATTATTAGTGGAGGTGCTGTTGGAGAGATGGCACAGCATTTTTGTGAACGTTACAAGTATAATATCCTTGTTTTCCATTCATTTGTTTGTGTTATTTTTCTTGGAGGGGGCAAGGAGGGTGCATATGTGGGACGGGTGAAAATATGATGAACCTTTTAAAGCTTATCTCATTAGACTACAAGGTCCCTGAATGTATTTATGTTTTTAAGTGCACCTTAATTGTACTGCAAGGGGTGCGTATGTGGGACGCAAGGGGTCCAAGTTTCGTTTGATTTGAGCAACTAATTTGACATTTAGATTGAAACCTTTACTCACAGAAGAAGATTTTGGTTTCTTAATACATTCATGGTCATCATACTTGTTCCTTCAATAACTTTTGCAACCGATACTTTGGCCTTCTAATCTATCATGTTATTGTACTACTTTTTCAGGCTCATGGTTATAAAAATTAGCTCCAAATTTGAGCTGCGACGTTTTTGCAGAACCACTGGTGCTGTCGCTCTTGTAAGCACACCCTAACAATAACAACATAAATTAAATGTCTTGAATGTAACTTTTTCTTAACAAGTAAATCAAAATAAATCTATTTACTTGTTGGATATAATAAAATCTTTAATTGCTGCTAATTTTCTTCTTTATTTGTGAGACCAGTTGAAGCTCTGTCAACCAAATGCTGACGACCTTGGATATGTTGATTCTATCTCAGTGGAAGAAATCGGTGGTGTTAGGGTACTCAACTGATGAAACTTATGTTTTTCTAATTTGCTCCCCTTAAGTACTTCAAGACTTCAAGCTATTGATGTTTATGTTTTTTGCCTCTAGGTTACAGTCGTACGAAGTGAGGAAGGGGGTAATTCTGTGTCCACCCTCGTTCTACGAGGCAGCACTGATAGTATATTGGATGACCTTGAAAGGGCAGTTAACGATGGTGTAAATACTTATAAGGTATGAACTTGTTTCTGATTTATTTTTACATAAGGTCTTCGAGGTTTCAGCTCATACGCCCCTTGTTTCTTTTTACAAGCCTCTCTTTCCTTTTTTTGCTTTGTCCCCTTCTCGCTTATGAACAGTACTAATTTCTGCCTTCTCTACTTATTTTTCCTTTCCTACATATTTTGAAAATTACTAATTTCTGCCTTTTTCTACTTATTTTGCATTTTCAACTATTTGAACAACACAGTAATAGTTCTTTAAGAGGGTACAATTTTAAAACCAACCAAATATAATTAGTTTCCATGATTTGTCTGCAAAGTGAAATTGACATTAGAATCTTAACTTTGATTCTTCATTGTATTAGGCGATGTGTAGGGACAGTAGAACAGTACCTGGAGCTGCAGCCACTGAAATTGAGTTGGCAAGGAGGTTGAAGGAGTTTTCTTTTAGAGAGACTGGGTAATCTTTTTTGTTGTCTTGCGTATACATGCATACATACACACATACACACACATACATATATAATACACCCAGAGTACTCCATTCATTAAGCATTCAACATGCATAAATATCAGGAGCTTTTTAACCTTTTACCTTCTAAAAAGTAAACCATGAATTGTATGCATAAATCCTATCATTTGACCAATTCTACATGTTTTGATGTATTTTAGCTCTCCATGCTCTGTGTCTATATTATGAACTGAGTATTGTAAAATCTCGTGTAATGAGATTTCATGAAATTGTAGTATATTCTGTATTAATATTTTTTGGTTTCTATGTAGCCTTGACCAATATGCAATTGCCAAGTTTGCTGAAAGTTTTGAAATGGTTCCTAAAACACTTGCTGAGAATGCTGGACTTAATGCTATGGAAATTATATCATCTTTATATGCTGAGCATGCTGCTGGGAGCACTAAAGTAGGCATCAGCTTGGAAGAAGGAGCGTGCAAGGATGTTGCTACCATGGATATATGGGACCTCTATATCACCAAGTAAACTTCTTAGTGAACACTTCCCAGTTCCTCTAACTTGATTTGATGTTTTTGAGAAAATTGAAAATACAAGTTAACCAAGCACTCCAGCCTAGCTGGTTGCGAGGTTACCGTGCCTAGTGGGAGGTCTCGAGTTCGAATCCCGCTAGGCACACAAGGGTTTGAAACTCAATGGAGTGAGTTTCAGCCCTGATTACTCCAGGCTCCCCCCAGACCCCTCTGGAGTAAAAAAAATAAAAAAAAATTTGAAAATACAAGTTGTTACATGAATATTTCCATATTGTAATTTATAAAAATAAATGAATCAAGTCCAGTATGTAAACCAATTGGTAAATGGGGGGAGGGTGATTTCGAAACTTGAAGAAGTCCACAGCTCCCCCTTATCACTTACTCTCGCAAGCCAAATGTCCACCGCTTTCCTCTCCTCCAAATTTGTTCTACCCAAACAAAGGCAAAAGTGTTGATGCGTGTATTACTGAACTTCATTGGTTTCCACCACTGTTAGTTTTATGTATTTTTAATACTATGTTTAAGTTCGTGTAGATAGCCAAGTACCTTTTTTCTCATTAAGGTGGGTTATTTCCTTGTCCTGACTAGGTTCTTTGCTCTGAAATATGCTGCCGATGCTGTGTGCACAGTTCTTCGAGTAGACCAGGTAACCAGCTATGTATTGTACTCAAATCCTATTTATTTATGAGAACCTCTATTTTGAAGTCTGTACCAGCGTGATAAATTCAATGGAGAAAAGCAGATATTGAGAGGATTAACCATTATATACAATTGATTACCATCCTGGAAAATATGAAAGAACAGTAGATAGTGAAAAGAGGTAACGACAGAATAATAACATAAACACACAATCTAACTAAACCCTCTATTTACCGTGTAATTTTTCCAGGGAGTAGTATAGCACTTGGTATTGTATGGTGTTTTTTTCAAAGAAAGGAGTATAGCTCTTGTAATCCACCAACTTAAGATAGAATTTATTTTGGTGCAGATTATAATGGCAAAACCAGCTGGTGGTCCAAAGAGAGGAGCGCAGCCGGGAGGAGGAATGGATGAGGATTGAGTTGCGTGGAGAGTTCTTTGCCGTTGTAACAGCCCCTAAGTTTTGGCCTTAAAGTTGATTATTTGTATGGTTATTGTTGGTGTTATTATCTTGGGGTACACATGCTTGGCACAGTGATTTTTGATGTTTAGTTGTCAATCTTAATGCGAACTTTAATGTTAGTTCTTTTAGTGCTAGTCAAGTCCTCTGAAATGGTAACTGTTTCAAAATTACCAGCAATTGCAAGTGATAAAGTGAGCATTGTGCTGCCAAAGTGGTTATATTCGCTCATTTGTGGTCGAGGTTTGGGATCGGTTCATAAATTGAGTCATGACACTTGAAGCGTTCATCCTTAATTCCCTGGTACTGCTGAACTGCATGTCTATCACGGTTTAAGGTTCCTATGACAAAAATGGCACGCTTGTTCAGAATTTTAGATAACAGTAGAAACAATGGCCCTAATATTACTATTAGTGTGTTTGCATTTCCAAAAGTATGACTTTTTATTTTTTCCTTAAATGTGCCTTTAATTAATTCAAATGCATATCCTACCTTATTCAAACGTGTGAAGTCTTAAATACAATTATTTTCTCCCTTAGCATTAACATTCAATCCTTCCCTACCCGGCTACCCATTCTCTCACATCCATCTCACCTTCAATTCTCACGTATCCATAGTCCAAGCAGAAACACCGGCTGCCCAATACATCAACACCCACCGGGCACCGCCGGAATTAGCCACCTGCCCACCCATCGCTGGAATCAGCTACCCGCCGCTGTAGGACTTCGCCACCGGAACCAGCCCCCCTCCTTGCTCTCATGATGACAAACCTCACTCATCCCTCACCTTCTCGCACGACATGGTAACAGAATCCAGATTTTTATCCTTTCTAATGTGTTGTCTGTGTTTTCTCCTTCATCCTTCTTCTCCATGTTCAACAACATGCACTACAACGAAACTTTCTTTTGTTGCCCTCATGGAGGGTTTGGGTCACTAAGGGTTATATAATATGGGGTGGTTTTTAGTCACCAAAGGATGCATGAAAGAACTCCAACAATGACCAAGTCATTTTTGAAGGAACTGTCCATTTTTTATTGAAGTGATGTGGCTTCAGAAGCTTTGTCTGGATGGTTATCATCGTGAGTGAAGCTGTAAGGTCATTATAGTTTCATTTGTATTCCAATAAATTTGATAATTTATTAAGGATGCACCTGATCTTGGCAAGCACACAAAGGGATGTGTGTTCATGAGGTCATGGTGGCCGGTTATGTGCAGGGTAAGTGTCTGGCCTGGACTTACTAAGTGATAAGGCTATGATAGATATGCACTCACTGTTGGACACTGAAGGAGAGTCACTATGAGTCTGGCGGTGGTCACTCTGTGATGGTCATTAGGGGCCGGAGATAGTCACTATAAGGAGTCCGGCGGTAGTCATTGAACGAAAGTCATTAAAGGAGTCCGACGGTGGTCACTAAATGACATATTCACTAAAGGAGTCGACGATGGTCACTGAGCGACATAGTCACTGGGTAGGTTATTGGCGGTAGTACGTTACTGATTGACATTGTCATTATAAGCGCTTGTAGAGTAAATGCACGGGATGAGTCACTGAGCGAAGCATTATCTAGCATTCTAGTGTAATATATAGTGACTGGTTTCAATTGCAACCAGAAATAAGCTAATACGGAGTATTATCTACCATAATCTACCGTCAATTGCAACCGGACATAACCTACGGATTAATTAATAGTAGGCTGCCATAAATCTTACGGAATACATTATACATAGCCTTCTCCTAAACTTTAGACGGCAGTTACCAAAATTAAAGGAGCCCATAAAACTGCCTTTTGCTTTCTATTTAATTGCATGATGATAGATGCCTTTAATGGATGGATCTGTACATGGTAATTAACCGGTTAAATAGCAAACATGATTACTTTAGTAATCAATTTTTTGGAACTTTAATTTATGAGTCATATTTTTGTCATTACATATTATATTAGTAATATTCATAATAAAAGGCCTTAAATGATGTAATTTGACTATATTTTGATAAACAATTATTTTGATGGGAATAAAATATAATGAAGTGTGATAAGATGATAACTATGATTAGGGTTGGACTTGGTCAGGCCCGGTATTGTTTGCGATTGGTCTGGGTCTGGAATTTCCGCTTTCAGGCTTGGAATAGCCGTGTCTGTCCAAGAGGGGTATTTAGTCCCGGTTCACGGTTCAACTATTTAAGGATTGAACTGGGTGGTTTTGGTCCCCGTACTGGCGATGATTTTTTTGCCTTAGAAATGGGCATAAATGAAAATACAATAGAACCATAATCGGAAACGGACTGCATGCCCTGGGTACCTAGAAATCTGGAACCAACCCAGATTCGGAACCGGTTCAGACTAGGGGTTCTCCTACCAATGACCGGGACCGGAACTAGGACGGAGTCGACCCCTAATTATAATGTTATAGATTGTATTATTTAAAAAAAACAATAAGCATGGAGGGAAGGAGTATAAAATTAGTTAATCCACTTATGGAGCAGGGGTAATTTTTACAATATAATCATATTTTTCATTGTTTAGAATCATTGTTTTGTTCTACGCGAGTAACACCCTTGCTGAATATGTTTTATTTTTAATATTAAGGCCATAAAAATGTTTTAAAGAAAAATATCTTTTGTCAATAACATGGGTTTAATTTGTGATGTAACTTGTGTTATGGAAAATGTAACTTGCGTGGATGGAAAATCTAACTTAGGTGTATTCAAAATGTAACTTACTAAGCCAAATTCAAATTTCTTAAAAACACTAATAGTATAACTTGCGGCTTGCGCGGATGGAAAATCTAAGTTAGGTGCATATTATGCTTATTTTGTTTAGATTAATATTACAAAAAAAGTGTATTACAAAAAAATACATAGAACATGTAATACAAAAAATGTTACAGAAATAAAAATAGTGTATGGATGTGAAATGTAATATATTTATTTTATTTAGATTAATATTTTTTGTTATGAATTGATAAAAATAAGAAAATAGAGTGAGTTGTAATTTAAGTTGAAGATAAAAGAAAATTAAAATTGTAATTACATTTGTAGTATTTGATGGAGAAGAAAAAAGATTTATAGAAAAGGAAAATAAAAAGATGCAAAAGGAATAAGAAACAGGAATGTGTGAGGTGTGCCGATGTATAATTTGCCTGCAAGGACATGCAGAACAAGGGCGGACATGATTCTGGCTTCATCCAAATGTCTAAGTAATTGAATCCTTAACAGGAAGTTTGAAACAATGGTTACAATTCTGATCCTCGGACCGAAAAACCGGAACACATCCACCCAAATGCAAATAAATAGTTCGCGTTTAATGGTCTTCGATCTTTTCTATAAAATGGAACTTTGAATCTTTGATTGCCTCATTTTATTAAGTATGACTGCAATCGATTTATATGCTCTATATTACGTAGGATTTCATGTTCAAGGTGGTTAGGCGCTAGTCGGGTGTTAGCTCAACGCCTATGCGGAAATTTGTCGGAGATGCATAAATTATACTCGCAGTTTTATTAATATTTTAACATAAATATGAATAGTAATATAGTGATTGTGTGTATAAAAAGTTATACACAAACATTAACATGAATGATGATAGAGTTATCACATTTAATACTACGTATTATATTATACATATTACATAAACTTATTATGTAATACGAGTAATTATTAAATACTCCCTCCGTTCCGCTAGAAGGTTCCCGTGAACGGTTTACGATGCTTGACTGGCGATAAAACAACTTAATCTCTATTCACACTCTGATTATTTTCAGTAAATAAAATTTACATATTTAGAAACTACATTAAAACCGCTACAATGCCTAATAAAAAATGTAAATTTGATAAAAGTTTGATATACTTCGTATAAAGTAAAATAATAAAATGATTTAAATGGACCATGTGAATAGTGGACGCGAATCTTCTAATGGGACGGAGGTAGTAATAACAATATTTAAGATTATATAGGAACACGTATGATTTTTATCTTAATCTACAACTAGTAGCTTTTTTCATATGCATTCTTAAAGGTACATACTTCGTATATCTCTTAGAAAATCAAAATGAAAAAGCAAAAAAAAAGGAGTGTCAGCCATCACCTAGCGTCCTAGATGGCCGACTAATTCACCTAGGTAACAAACCAATTAGTCAGGTCGCCTAGGCAGGGACTAGACAGGTGCTCAGAGCAATTTTAGGTTCCTGTCAACTGTTCTCCCGGTCATCGTAAATTGTCCTTAATCTTTTACTTTTTATATATCCAACTTTATCAAAATTATTTTTTCTTTTTGCGACTTTATAAAATTTTTAATGTAGTTTCTGAATATGTAAATTTTATTTACTAAAAAAAATTAATTAATGACATCGATCAGTTAACTCTATGTCAATCAAACACCGTAAACCACGTATAAATCTTTATCTGGGACTACGAGTGCAAATGAGCCGAGCCGAGCCCGAATCTATGCAGGCTCGAGCTCAAAATATATTGTATTGGCTCGAGCTCGAGCTCGGCTCGAACAAGCTTAAAAAACAGGGCTCATGCTTGACTCACAAATTGTTAGATGGCCCGATTCAGCTCAATTGGCTCGATAATTTTGGTTCGTCAACTCAAAAGTCACATGTTAGATTAGCTTGAAAGTTCGAGTTCAAACTCGAGCTCAAGTATGAAATAATCTTTGAATATTTGTACTTAACATTTGCGTATTGCAACTTACATGCCCAATAACTAAGTAGAGTAATTATGTCCAAAATAAATCAAAAGTGGTCAAATCATGAGGATTAAACTGAACTAGAGTTACATGAACAAAAAATAATCAAAATATTCAACTCCAAGTCTCCAACTAGTTGTGCTTCTAATATAATATATCATATATATTATATATATACTAATATATACTCCGTATTATATATTAATTTATATTGTAATTCATATTATATATATATAGAGGGCTCTTCATGTCAGGCCGGCCTGACGGGCTGCCCCGTCCGGCCGAGCCCGTTTGGGCACCTTCCCGGTGGAATTTTTTGAGCATGTTCCTCATCAAGTCTAGTTTGTCCATACCAAATTTCAGCTCAAAATTCGATCGGGAAGGTCGTCAAATGATTTTTGCAAGTTAACTGGTCCGGGAAATACATATTCCGGACCAGTTAACTTGCAAAAATCATTTGACGACCTTCCCGATCGAATTTTGAGCTGAAATTTGGTATGGACAAACTAGACTTGATGAGGAACATGCTCAAAAAATTTCATCAAAAAATTCCACCGGGAAGGTGCCCAAACGGACTCGGCCGGACGGGGCAGCCCGTCAGGCCGACCTGACATGAAGTTTTCTCTCTCTCTCTCTCTCTCTCTCTATATATATATATTAATATACATATACACTCATTGAAAACTTGGCTTCCAAGCCTAACGAGCCGGCTCAAGTTTGACCAAACCCGATTCGAGCGGCTCGACTCATTTGCATCCTTATGTGGGACGGAGAGACTAGATTTT